CTTGCATCCAGGCCAGCTTGGAAGATCTCCAGAGAAGGAGATTTCATCTAATCCAGGGGTGGTTTGCAGAATTTAAGCAAATTATCATGTCAAAAAGACATACAAGTCTTCCACTCCCCTTAACCTGTACCCCAGGAGCAGCCTTTACCTCACATCCTGCCAGGAGCAGCCCCTACAGAGCGCAGAACTGCTGGGGTACTCAACTCCTTTCTTTACTCACAGCAACTTCTTACTGCAGCCAAGGCCACCTCTGCTCTTACCTACCTACAACCAGTTCATAAAAGTTGACAATTTTCACATTTTCCACCTCACACTTCTGTGTCTAGGTCTCTATTTGGTCCTACCATGCACAAATGTGCCTTGCATAAATCTTCCGTGTCTGTAATAACTCTTATTTGTGAAATGAAAGAGTTCCTATCACTTACTGGTACTGTGCTGATTGCTCCAATTTCTCAGGATAGTCTTTCCATAATCATTACAGATTACAGAAGAAATTGTTAAAATTACCATTTTAAGAAGTAATATGGTACATTTGAAGCAAATTATGTAAAAGCATAATTGCTAAACCACAGAAATGTCYTTGAACAAAATACAAAGTAACTTCAATACTTGGAAATAAATCACATGGAGAAAGTCACATATTCAATTTCATTTTTATCTTGTCATCTAGAGGAGGAGTAAATAGCTCTTAACACTCATTAGTCAAAGATAGTAATTTGTAACTTACATTTTTCACTGAATAAACAGAGACGGCAAAGCCTACGGATAATTCACATGTGAATATTTAAATTAAGTTTGAAAAAAAAGCAATGAGTAATTTTAGAACATTTTTAGCTAACTGTGAACTCAAAGATCAAAGATCTGTAATTCTTTTTATATATAAAATTTATTGCCATAAATGATCTACATAGAAGGCAGTGAAAATGAATGGAAAAATGAGTTACTGACATAAGCAAGAGATGAACAATAATCAACAAAAGTATTTTTAACTCAAAATAAACCTAAAGGATTTGAGTACTGTTGAACTGTGCAGCAATCAGCTTGTGATGTAAACACACTCTGCTTCCCAAGCATGCAAGGACAAACACTGAAGCTCAGCTACAATCCCAAACTGTAGGAATTATTGACTCTCTCGATCACAAGGCACAGCAGCAAGCTGGAGTAATTCTGTCTCCTGCAGCATCTGCATCTGCTTCAACAGACTCTTCGCGCTTTTAAAACTAATTTTTCTGGGTAAAGGCTAAGAAATATTTGCATGAGAATACAAAAGAAATCTTCATACTTTTAATTCCATATTTCTTTAAAAAAGGCACTATCAAATCTATCAGTCTTTGTAACTTTCATTCAGTTCTATAAAAAAATACATCATTTTATTTACAAATAAATAAAACAYAGGCTTCAAAACACGGCTACAAGTTTGGTTCTGTAACGTCCTCATCAGGGCAACAATAGTATTCTACAAAACAGATCTGCCCATCTTCATTCCTAATCATATACTGCAGTGAAAGAAATCCTCGAGTATCTGTCCGAATGGACACTTTACACGACAGAGCCAGTGCCTTTGTAGATGGTTTAAGCAAAGAGATCTTATACCTGCAAGAGAGGAAAAAAAGAAAGTCATTTAAAAATGTATTACACAGAGAAGAGCTGAAACATTACTCCAAATTAAGGCCATGATGTTATGGAAAACCAATTAGTAAAACTGTATTTTGCTCTCTTGGTAACAACATCAGAAASTGCTGTCACTGAGCTTTAGATCACAGACATAGGGTTTCAATAGATGGGATTCCTGTGCAAATGAAATAAATGTTTCAGTAACAAATAAAACGTTTTTTCAACTTTCCATTGGGGAAGTATGAGCTGCAGCAGRCAGCATCTCAGACACAGTCACCAACCTGTTAGTCTGGGTCTGGTTGCAGTGGAACGCTTCGATCAGATCCGAGTCGCGCGGATAGTCGAGATGGGCACTTCCAGCATTCCCAAAAGTGGACAACCTGCAAGGCAAAAGGCATCATCTGAAAATACCAAAAATCATGGAAGCAGAAACAATGCGAAAATCCCAGGAATTCCACTTATTTTCTACAATGACYGAATTATTCATTTCAGGCATTTGCACATGCCCCCAAAGGCATTCCAGCCCCCTGGGAGATGCTCCCAGCAAACAAAGGTGCTAAGGAAAAAATCATAATGAATTCAGATTCTRTAAAGTATACGGAAAACAAACTATTTGAAGTTGAATCTTACTTAGGCCAAGAACAAATCTTGGTCTGGCCAAGACTAGACCTCTCCAAATCACATAGTTTTCAGTTATCAACAGCATGAGGTTGAGCACTGACAAAAGTTCACATCTGTCATTGAAACAAGATTCAGGGTATGGTAAAGAACATTACAGAATATAGCAGATAGTTAAGATRCTTTGTACCTTCAGTGGCCCTAATAGGATGAAAAATAGATATTAATAAGTAGGGGGCTAAATGCTTTCTATCAGAAATAGATTTTTCTGAGTAAAAACACATTTTTTGCTGCTTTTTACAATCCACTTGCCTGACATGTGCTACACTATCTTCCAGAGCACCCCTCTGCCATATTCTCGTGGCAAGCTTGGATGATAACTGGACCACAAAATCTGTTCAGAGGGTTCCACAATTACAGATGCCAGAGCAATGTGACATACAACACTGAGCTATAACATGTCTACCAAATTAGCTCAAATTTGCTTTAAAATTCTTGGGCTGAATTAAAGGCCATTCACCATGGACCACCCCTCTTTATGGAGAAACGGTAAAACGTCACAAGCAGAAAAGACATACATGTAGTTCTCTGTTCTGGCCCTCTGGTTATTCAGCAATACTCTGATTTGAGTCACTACATGCGCAGGGTGGTCGCACATGTTGCAGCAGATGTAAAACATGTGCTCTTTTGACAGCACAATCTGCCCCACACAGAAATGCTGTCCTCTTACCTGTTTCTACCTAACACACATAGCTAAGCAAATTTAAGGTGACATTTSTGTTTGCTTTACTTCACTATGTTCACTGGATTGCATATTGCTAATCTTTACATTCTTTACAATTCCYTAAAATAAACCAATGTTTTAAAATAGCTTCCCCCTGTATACCCTAAAATTTCCAGTCCTTACCCACAGAAAGCAGAAAGGCCAAGTATGAATATTTACACAGGACGCAAAGTTTCTCATACCTGAAATATGGTTTGTCTGGAGACATGGTAATCTGTAAAACTTCACTGGTCATATCCAGCTCAGCAAATGCTTCTCGTAACCCCTCCGACTGTAGGATAATTTTATTAACAACATTTGTGCTGCAGAAATCAAAGTCCAACAGCTCCTCAGGTTCCTGAGTGTTAATTTTGCACACTGTCACCACTCCTCCTTCTTCTAAGAACAGCATCAAGGGATAGCCGTAACCGCGATAACACATCCTAAGAGCTGTGGATGACCCTGGAAAAGGAAATGAAGCAGAGAGCCAGTGAGCACATCTCACCACTTCGGGAAACGCAGATGCTACCTGCATGTCAGACACGTTGAATTAACTTATAAATACTTCATTTTTTAGGAAGCAAAATTTAGCTAAAACTGTGCTTTTTAAGCAAATGACTATACGAATGATTCAATATTTGTATACATAATTCCAAAATGAACTCCCCTCTCTCCATCACTGAAAGCCATTAATAAAGTCCACTTGATTTTTCTAATTCACACACTCAAAAAAATACTTTATACTCCTCACAACAAAATCTAAAACTCTTTGTTCACTTGAAAAGTATACGTAGGGGCACTTGAGGTGGTCCCAGTTCAGCCCATGGCTAAGCACAGGTTTCACTGTAYGATTACAAGAGTTACATCCGATAAAAGACAGTTTGCATCATACCTGGCAAAGAACTTGCACCAAAAATGGTCAAGCAGTCAAGCAGAACTGCCAGATTGATCCGGAACATCACAGATTCCTCCTGAACTGAAAATTCCTGAAAAATTTCTGCCTATGAGAAAAAGAAAAGGGATTATGAGAGAAAAGCTTTCACATTTAGTTTACTTACAGTTTTTAGTTCAAAGTTTTCACTTTCAGGGATCAGTGCAATATAAAGTGACTTCTATCCCTAACAGAATTTCTGTTAAAAAAAATACACATCTTCACTCTCAAAAACCAGTAAAATAAAATCAGGTCACAGTTTTAACAAAGTAGCACGCCATAAGCACAAAAAGTCTAMACRTTTATGTTTAAAAGCATATCATAAATGTTAAAGTCTACARCCACCTASTTMTGGTGCACAAAAAGTTCTGGTATACRTCTTTCATATAAATATATRCATATAGGTGTGTGCGTGTGTGCAYRGATGGATTCGTTTGCAGATCGAACACAACCTCATGAGTGATCAGGCACAGCTTGTTATAACAGTGACATTAAAGCAAATTTGGAGTGTTTCCAGGCTTCAAACGGYCCCAAACCTGCTCTTTTAAAGGTGTGTTCTGGAAACAGAAAAGTCGCAGAAGGTGCACGGCCCTGGCCGCGGCGCCGCACCTGGATGAAGGCGTTGGCCTGCAGGCACTTGGCGTCCTCCACCGTCACCTTGAGGCCGTTGGCCGTGGCGAAGCAGCTCGCGTGGTCCTGGAAGTGCACGGCGCGCAGGAGGCTGGAGAGGTGGCGCGCGTTGTCCAGGCTCGCCGAGAGCACGTAGCGCTCGCCGCTGCCGGGCGGCTGCGTGGAGAGCGGCATGGCCGGGCGCGCAACGGCGACAGGCGCCCAACGGCCGCACAACGGCTGAGCAACGGTCGCGTAACGGTCGCGTAACGGCTGTCGCTACCATAGAGCGCGCGCCCAGAGCGACGCGCGGGCTCTTCCGCCGCGGAAGCGGAAGTGCCGGGCGGAGCGGGGAAGATGGCGGCGGCCAAGAGGCAGCGTGCGGCGGCGGCGGGTGGCCGGCCTAGGAAGAGGCCCAAGGGGGAGGCGGGCGCCCCCGCGCCGGCACCGGGAGCGGCACCAGCGCCGGGAGCAGGCGGGGCGGCCCCGGAGGAGTACCGCATCCCGGCGCCCGTCTCGCAGGTACCGCGCTGCGCYGGGCCGCGCGGAAAGCCGCGGGGAAGCGCGCCGAGAAGCCGCGTTGCGGCTGTTCAAGCGCATGTTTTCTCTGCGCGGCAGCGATTTTAATGCCGGGAGGTTCTTTTCGCTGCCTAACTTCTGTGCCGTTTTCCCAGGGAAAATGGAAAAACAAGGAGCGCGTGCTGATTTTCTCTTCCCGGGGAATTAACTTCAGAACGAGGCACCTAATGCAGGACTTAAGGACGCTGATGCCGCACTCCAAAGCAGGTAGGGCTGGGCCCCTGCGACCTGTACATTTCTGCTAAGAGCTGATTTCTAACAAAAATCCTGATGTTAAACTGGTTTTCAGGCATTCAAAACGTTGTTTTGTTTGTTTGTTTTYCAGACACTAAAATGGACCGTAAAGACAAGTTGTTTGTAATTAATGAGGTAATTTAGAAGTTAATTATCTTTTTTTTCCCCCTTCTTTGACTTTGTAGCAATCCTGTGTGTAAGAGAAAAGGRCAGCGAATGTGTCCTAGTCCAAAGGAATTAAGGCTGGCCCTATGAGTTGTGSAGCCTCTTAAATGAAACCAGTTTGTGTTCAAAAGTGTTTAGATTAGAATGGAAAGTTGACTTTGGATTAAGAAAGTCAGAATCAAATCTATGCATTAAAAATTAGCCTAAAGAATGAAAAAAAAAAACCCTGTATATATATATTTCCATRTAACTGAAAGATGTTTTATAATATGTATTTGGATTAGTTGTGGAACATACGTGTGACCAGCTAAAGTAGAGTAATAAGATATGGTGGAGTTGAAACAGGAGCCCGTTGTCACAACCCCAGTTCTAACCTCCGTGTCCTGGAAAGCCCTTCAGATTGCTTGTGACCTCAGTGAGATATTGATCCTGGTAGTAAGAACTTAAGGTCTTTYGGTAGGTGTTTGAACTAAAGTTTGGGAACTGGTAGGAATAGTCAATTAGGAGGAGACTTTTTGGTTTTAAACTTTTTGTTCCAGGGGGTGGACATTAATGAGTATGTGGAAAGTCTGAGAAAATGTCTTCAGAATTTTGCAAAGTACTAATTTGTCATGGTTTTTGTAGGTGTGTGAAATGAAAAACTGCAATAAATGCATCTTTTTTGAAGCCAAGAAAAAACAGGATCTGTACATGTGGTAAGTAAATGTTCGTTGCTTTTTCCTTTTCCGTATAGAAGTAGTGATGCTTCTGCTCTAACAGAAGTCTGATAGAGAAGTAGAGAAGATGCATAAAATAATGGTGCTTAGTTAAATCTGCACTAATTCCCTATGTATATAGCTAATGTGAGTTTACAACGTATGACTGGTTTTATTACATGTTTAAAGATGTTTACATTTTACAGAATTCTTTACCTTTTACAGAATTCTTTAAAAAACAGATATGCATAAAATACATTTCTGTTGAGTATTACAGTACTAAAATCAACTTATTTTAGAAGTATGTTAAAGGAATTCAGTACTACTTTTAAAAGAGGCCGAAGTTGCTTCAGTGCAGCAGTATAATTGCTTGGAGTATACTGGACAACTCTAGCACACCTTTCTRGCTGCCACTAACCCTTTCATTTTTCTCTCTTCTTCCTGCCTCCCTGCTGCAGGCTCTCAAATGCACCCCAGGGACCATCAGCCAAGTTTTTAGTGCAGAACAGTGAGTTGAAACCATTTGAGCTTTTCGCTTTATTTGTTCATTTTTCTCTAAATACTAAAATGTTTTTAATCATTGTAGTTCACACACTGGCGGAGTTGAAGATGACTGGAAACTGCTTACGGGGCTCACGGCCCCTTTTGTCTTTTGATCCAGTATGTATAGGTTTTGTTTTTCGTGGATTATGCTTTCATTTTTCTTACACTGTTAATGTATTTTGTATGTAAAATTACATTTTTCTTTTATAGACATTTGACAAGGAGCCGCATTATGCCTTGTTAAAAGAGTTGTTTATTCAGGTTAGTTTGAAATTCTTCTGCCCAATGTTTGATCTTTATTGGAAAGTAAGATGCTTTAAGATGTGTATCTGATTGACCTCTTAGGATTACAGATAATTGGATTGTCTCTTATTACAGATATTTAGTACACCACAGTATCACCCCAAGAGCCAACCCTTTGTAGATCACGTATTCACATTCACCGTTACAGACAAGAGGATCTGGTTTCGGAATTACCAGGTTGGTGGCTCTGTTTCACCCTTCAGATGTTGCTATGAAATGACTTCATATCCAGTCCATTAGTTGTAACTGAGCAGACTCATTATTATCAGGATATGCTGATGTTCAGTGCTTGTACAAAGAAATCTCAGTAACTTTGTGATTCTGTAAAGTAGCCTTTGTAATAGGAAGTACTTTCACTTGTCTTTTAATCTTACTTGGTGCTTTGGCTCAAGTTGTGGCTCCTTATCTTCCAAAGAAGAAATTTACAAGTATCAATCCATGAGAAGTAAGTAACATACTCTTTTTATTGCAGATCATAGAAGAGGATGCATCTCTAGTGGAAATTGGGCCTCGTTTTGTTTTGAATCTCATCAAAATCTTCCAGGGTAGTTTTGGAGGACCAACTCTGTATGAAAATCCCTATTACCAGTCCCCAAATATGGTAAGCAGCTTGATTTTTGTCTTTTTCTTAGAGCAACACATTTGAAGTCTTGCAAGCTTTTTGTGCAGAAAACACATCCACTTTCCCCTAGAACCCCCTTGGTAGGAGAGAGTGCCTGAGCTGGTGGTAGGTATAGAAGAGCCATGCATAAATAAAAAGGACTCMGTCTTTTCACTGACAGAGATGTTATGCCATACTGATAACTAATATTGACAATTAGGCAGAAAAAATCTCCCATCTAGTTCTTTAATACCTATTTTTTTTCCCATGTTGCTTACTTACCACCTGACTTGATTTTAAATTCTTATTTTTATAGCATCGGAGATTGATAAGATTATCAGTGGCTGCTAAATTTAGAGAGAAACAGCAAGTGAAGGAAGCACAAAAGATGAAGAAAARGGAAACTAAGATGCTTGTTAAAGATGACTTCACCGAAACTGTCTTTGAGACTCCAGCTGAAGAAAAGCCCGTGGAAATACAGCTTGTGAAACCAGAACCAAAGGCAACTGTAAAAGATAAAAGGAAGCCACGCAAAACTCAAAGGAAGAAGCAAAAAAAGCTTTTCAGAATTCAAGCATAAATGTTACAAATGACAAAATTAAGCAGACTCCAAAGTCATCTATTAGACTAGTATATATACCTAGCTMTATTTTATAGCTATCTTTACGTAATATTGTAAATACTTGTTTTTACAGCTAAAACTAACGATTTCAATTTTGAGTAAACAAATTATCAATTTCTTTATTAGGATTCAGTCTGCATTGTTTTATTTGTCCTCTTTCTGATTATGGGCTTTTAAAAAGAACATATCAAGAGGGAAACTGAAATATTTCTGCTTTTGAGAACTACCATTTTACACTTGCATGCCCCTGGGAAGTGACTCACTGTAACAGATAAAGAATAAAAATAACTAGGTAGTCTTTGGTGCTCATCATCAGCCAGAGTTTCAGAATTCAGCTTTCCTTGCGCTTTAGAGCAGTCAGTAATCCATTTTATTTTAAGTTGCAACTTCTGTAGGACCTCTCTCGCTTTGGGGCTGTTCCTCACCACCTCCTCTAATTCCTAGTTAAGGGAAAGGGACATAYTGATTACCTTTTTATTTTTTAGTTAATAGTAGAAAAGATGCCACTGTTCTTGGCAGTCCTAGTCATGTTCTTGAAAGGTGAAATGTGGGTATGGAGGAGAAAGCAGGCCCTTTATTCCCCTCTCACTGCAAGGTTTCTGCTAGTGAAAGGTACACTGCTGCCTGTGAGCACTAAAATCATATGTCTATGCTAAATGGCAATAGAATTACCTGTCCTCCTTTGTTATAGCCACAGTGCTTACAGGTGCTGATTGTGTGTAACAGAATCCATGCTTTTAAGAACTTAACACATAGAGATAACTTTAAGAACAGAGCAACAGCTCCTCTTCATTCAAGTTTGTATGTTTAGGTAGTTGGAGACTTGTTTTTCAAATAGAATGAGGCTATTTTTTTTTTTTCAACTAAGATTGCAGAGCCATCAGCAGCAGGACCTTCCCCCTGTGCTTCCTGCTCAGTTAGTGACAACAGCCATTTGCTCAGTTCATGTAGCACTGTTTRTGCTGAAGCCAAAGCAATGTTGGCCAACGAAGGTTTTAAGAAAAAACATGAGCAACGTTGAGCTGTTGGAGCTGCGCTAAGTGTCTCTGGAGCAGTCGTGGAGACAGTTCTATGTATTTGATGAAATTAAACAGCCACAAAAGGCAAATCCAGCATTACTGACGGAGGGGGCAGCCCCTTGTTTCCTGAGCGGGGCTGCTACTACGCGGGGCTAAGGGGCGAGCGGGGCTTCACTGCCCCGTCCCGCGGCAGCGGCCTCCCCTGCCCCTCTCCTCCTTCACGGAACGCGGTAACGGCCATTTCCTCCGTGCAGGCAGGGCAGGGCGTCCCCTCCCACTGCGCGCAGCCTTCCGCCCTGACAGCAGCCCTCCCAACCTTCCCCCCGCAAACGGTTCTAACGGCTCTCTCGCCTCTCCAACGGCCCCCGCCGACCCCCACCAACGGCTCTCGCGAGACCCTCGCGCCCCTCGGCGGTTCCAATGGCGGCGCCATGGCGCCCCGCAGCGCTCGCTCGCTCGCTCCTGCGCGGCCGCC